AGAAGAGTCGTATCAGAATTGTCAAGGGGGAAGGAAAAAAAGCTGCTCCTTTAAGGAACAAGCTTAGACTTTTTGGCCATATCAGACTCCCTGTGATGACTGCCATCTTGGGCACCATTTAGAATTGCTGCCCCAGTGAACACAGGGAGACCAGGGGTCATTGGAGGGGGGGGGGGGAGCAGATGCGCAGGAGCAGCTTCACAAGCTGCACTTTTGGGAGAGCTGCAGTTTGGCCACCCCTGTCCTAAACCAAGCATGGGTTTAATGCTATTAGACTTGTTCTTCAGCATTTCTTGGATGCTATGCAGATGGGCTATTTACTGACAACCCCTAATACTGATGTAACCCACACACCTGGGGCTATGTCTAGACTGGCCCCTAATTCCGGAGAAGTCATGCAAAGCAGGTAAGTCAGAATAGGGGAAATCCGCGGGGGATTTAGATATTCCCCGCAGGATTTAAACAAACATGTCCGCCGCTTTTTTCCGGCTTGGGGGAAAAGCCGGAAAAGAGCGTCTAGACTGGCGCGATCCTCCGGAATAAAGCCCTTTTCCGGAGGATCTCTTATTCCTACTTTCAAGCTGGAAAAAAGCGGCGGACATGTTTGTTTAAATCCCGTGGGGGATATCTAAATCCCCCACGGATTTCCCTATTCTGAAATACCTGCTTTGCATGACTTTTCCGGAATTAGGGGCCAGTCTAGACGTAGCCCCTGCTGGGTGTGGTGCACTGTCCTATCTTATGCACTGAAACCACTTAGAGAAAAGCTAACCGTCAGCTGGCTTTTGCAATAGAGGCTCATCTGCTAAGCTCCAGAGGTCACTGATTCGATTCTGCCTGCAGATGACCGGGGTCTATTGGTGTTACATTGGGTATTGCCTATTGTTAATGTGCCACCACCAACAACTTGAAACTTCATTATGCATCATTTGTGAAACAGGCTCTGAATGAATGCTTCCTTGATATTGAACCCAGAGTCTCTGGGTACGTTACTGTAAATACAATTGCTCCTGTCTTAGATTTGCTATATATTCAGCTGATGGAATGATGTTTTGCTTATTGTAGTTAAATCAGCTGGTGTTGGGTTACAAGTTATATAATGCAGGAATTGTGCAATAGTCACCAATGCTTGTAAATGTGGGAATCCAAAAGAGACTGCATTTAGCCTAGTCTCAAAGGAAGGGGAACCTTGTCAGTTTAAAAAAAACTTCAGCCAAAGAAGGGCTCAAATATCAGTTATGAGGGTAAGAGGGGAGGGCAGGATTTCCAACCAGTGGCCAACAAGGTGGTAGCAGCAAGGCCTGCTCCCCATGAGCAGCCAGCAGGGCAAATAAAATACCTCTACCTCCCCCCACCCAGGATGGGAGGAGAACTCTGGGGAGGCACTGACCAAAGGCAGCAATTGTGAGTGGGGTGCAGAGACAGGGACTTTTGGGGTCCTGAACTTATGAACCCGAGAGGAAAAGGACACTGCCCCACCTATTGGGGTGGGACTTTTACCATGGGCAGTGGGTAAGGTAGGCAAGGGAAGGCATTGCCTTCCCAAAACTGGCTATGCTGCAGAGCCACCTAGGAGGGGCTGGGGCCGTGCATCAGCCCTGGAGGCTGGGGCCATGCTAGCCCTCAGCTCAGGTTGCATGGGGCTTGGCTGGGGAGGGAGGGGGGAGAAGCGTGCTGAAGGGGTAGCCTAGTTTAGGGCAGGGGTAAGCAATAATTTTTGCTGGGCGGGGGGGGAAGGGGGCGGCCATCCAAGATTTTGGAAAGTGGTCAAAGGGCCACACTCTTCTACGATATTAATGAAGGAGATGCGGGATCTGGAATGCAGGTTGGGTGCAGAAATGAGCTTGGGGTAAGGGACTGGGGTGCAGGGGGAAGACTGGAGTTTGGATGAAGCAGGCAGTTGTGGCCTAGGGCAGGGGACTGGAGTGCAGGAGTTTAGGATGTGACCGGGAGTAGGAAGGGATTGTGATCTGGGGCAGGAGATTGGGGTGCCAGAATTGGGAGAGGGTATGGGCATAAAAGGAAGAGAGGGTTTGGGTATGTTGAGGGGTAGAAAGATGGGACAGGAAAGGGCAGGGATGCCATAAGGTGGCTGTGGCCAAGAGACTTACCTGCCAACTGCCAAGCGAACCTGCCTGCAGATTTAAAATGTTTCTCAGCCAGCCCGGCCCTGTGCTTCCTGAATAACTGAGCCCAAGAGAGGGGGCGTAATTCTTCTTAGCTGCCTGTTATTCTAACAAGCAGCTCCCATTGTCTGGTTCTGCCAGAAACTGGCCAGCGGGAATGTGCTGGGGGCAAGGCAGCTCCTAAAACTTCCCTGCGGCCACGTTTCTGCAGGGTGCAAGAGCCAAGATGGGGAGTCTGCCTGGGGCTCTCCACTGCCTCTGCAGGCTGGATCCAGCCTGTGGGCTGTATTTTGCACAGGCCTGGTCAAAGGGTATGGCTTTGGGCAGAAGGGGCAAGGCTTCAGCTTGCCTTTTCCAGCTGGCCTTTCACCCACTGCTAATGACTTACTCATGTTTTATATCTGTGAACCCTCTTTGATGTTTTTCAGAAATTAATGCCCAGTTACTTCCATCCCTATGGAGGATTTCTCTACAACAGACTTTGTGCTTGCAAGTGGGGAAGTAGAGTGTCTGAGACTCAGGTATGGTGTGTTAGTTTCCCAGGTAACTGGGAGGGGGGAGGGGCTCAAGCCAGTTGTGTTGGATCAATGAAAACAAACACCTTAGATACCAAACCCAGCCCTGACTGCTTCTATGCCTTGTACCTCACAGTGAAGAGATACATAGTCCAGAGCAAGTGCACAGTAATGAAATCTTGCCAATTAATAGCTCTCAACAGGTTGCCAAGAGTTTTAGAAAGGGACTCAATTAGGGACACATTCCTCCAACAAAATAAAAACCTGAGGAAGTATTTACCAGAAGGTTTTCCAAAATGAATTACTTTGAAGCTGAACTGTAATACACATGAGTTTAACTCCATGTGTGCTGAAAGTTTAACCAGCTTTCTGGCATGGAAAGTTTTAGATTTGGTCAGAATTCTAAACAAGTACTCTCCAGTACATTCGTGTGGGACAGAATGAGGTCTTCTGGGATATCAGATACTGCAGTAGATAGTAAGATTCTTGGTAGTAGAGAGAGTTGGAGATCCCAGAGAGATTTGTTAGAGATCATTTGTGAAGTTGGCTACTCTGCACATCTTAATCTCTGAAGTCTTCAGCTCACGAGGAATCACTAAACAAGTGGAAGGAGTAAGTTAACCAAGAAGTCCCCTCTCCCACTTTAAGTACTAGGTGTTGTAAGTTACATGGAGTAATACAGATGACAAGTGTACAGTTGATAAGTGTAAGTGTCATATTCCAAGCTACTAGTGTATAGTTTGAATGTCCTTTCCTAAAAACTTAAGAAAGATGCCCTACTCATCCAGCATCCCCTTTCCTTTTCTGTAAGGGAATGAGACTGGTTCTCTTTAGTTATCCACAGATGGCTCATTTATCAGGAGATATCAGGAAGCTATGGACTGACCTGGTCTCTGATCATCATTTATATTAATCACATCTCTGGGTCCAAAGTTTAATCCTACAAAAATAGGAGTGTCCATCTTCTACTGAAGCAGTAATAAGACAGTTAGTAACTGCTCTTTGGTCCCATTAGCTAGCTGCTCCATGTTGGAATGTTGTGGCCAGTCATTCCAGAATGCCATTCCAGAATGGGCCTACATACAGCACAGTCTCCCACCAAATAATGTTGAGCATGGCCTGAGCAATCATGCCTAGAAGGTAAAGCTCTTCAAGATGACAGGGTCCAGACACTGAATGTTACCACTTCCTGTGCCCAGATGCATGAACAACTGAAGCCCTTCTTTACATTATCCAAATCTTAAATTAGGTGTATCTGCCTTTGTCAGTGTCCATATAGAGCAGTGATTCCCAAACTTCCCCCCGCCCATGGAGGAAGCCCTTAAAATAATTTTTCATATCCCGAGGAAGTTTTCATATCCCTATGAAAACATTTGCTTGGCCAGAGAAAGTTGACAGCAGGCAGCGCAATCCAATTACTGCTAAATTGTCAAGAAAATTTTTAAAGAGCTGTTTATATGTCAGCTTACATTGTAAGATTTTTTTTTTTTTTATTTATTCTACAATTTCTTGAGGAACCTCTGATGATGGTCTGCGGAACCCCAGGGTTCCGTGGAACCCTGCTTGGGAACCACTGGCTGTTAGCAGTAAGAAACAACACTGCCTTCAAAATCTCCCTTCAGTACTTGTCAACTTGAAGACAGAGGACCAAATTCACTTTAGGCTTCAACATGAATGCAGTAGTAGATTTTTGTTAAGGTCACATGAGGCTCAAAGACCTTCCTTGAGAAGTAAAACAGAAGGTCTGGTAAGAATACCACCAGCTCAGTGATTTGTAACTACTTCACTCAATTTCACACTGCACTTTTCCACCTTGTCCCCCCCAAACCACCACCCCCACCCCGTGAGTTCCACTTGGATATTCTAATTCAGTCTTAACAGTTTTTCAAGCTATACAGCCACTGGCAGGCTGCCCATTTCTTAGCATCTTAAAGACAGCCTTCCAGCATGAGTATCTGTTTGTGGTAGCCAATAATCCAGCACAATCTCCTTCTTATGGAATTCCCTTGGAAAGATGTATCCAAGTTACAGCTCTGGAGCCCAGACCTTAAAGGGTTTAAGAGTAGATATGTTGCAATATTTCCTCAAGTCCTGCATGCTGCTCAGACCTGGAAACAGACTGGTACACCTTAATTTCCTAAATTGAAGCACCCTACAAGGAAGCAGATATTGAAGTACATTTTCTAGATAACTGCTGCAGGGAAATCATGCCTTTAAGTGGAAGTAAGCAATAGTAAGGACACATTTCCAGTGGCATTGCTGGTTATTTGAGAGAGACCAGAAAAAAGTGATCTAGGATACTGAGTTGGTTGTGCCTTTTTGCCAGACTTCCTCACTCCTCTTCAGAGACATCACTCACCTATTCTGGTTCCTAATACAGCCTCTTCCCATTCATGCTTGGTACCTGAAACTGCAAGCAGAACAGCTGTTGATCCTTAAGCCTGGACTTACAGTGGATTTTAAGCTTCCACTGTAAATTCTAATAGACTATCTACATCAGTGCATTTTCATTTGTACTAGTGCACCTTATCCTGGTGCTGGACTGGTGTAAGTCACACTGGTGCAAATTAATGCCCATAAGTCATTTATTTCAGCGCCCTTGCAGAACACACTGTCCCAAGAATTTATTGCTTTTTGAATTAACAAAACAAAACTTGCTATGAGGATTTACACACAAGTGCTAAGGCAATTAAAATATCTGGCAGGGTTATTAATAAAGTGTCAGCTATTGTCTCTATGAGCAATTAGCATTCAGTTTGATTGGGAATGATTTTATTGTAGGCCTTATTCAAAGGAGATCGAAGAAGAAATGACTCCTTTAGGTTTGCTCAGTAGAGCCATAAAGAAGGAACACTGGGCTAAATCCTCACCCCATATAAATGGGCTAGCGCTAGTGGAGCCAATGCCTTACACTGGTTTACAGTAGCTCTAGGTCTCTGGCCCTGTTTTACAGCAGTTATTTACGGACTAGCAAAAAGGGATGGTTTCAGAAAGGTGTTTTGCCAGGAGGTGTGTCTGCCCTGGCCAATCACTGAACAAGACCTGGACAGGTACTGCAAGAACATGCCACAGGAACAATCCTATGCGATCCACCCAACACAGAAAACTGAACAGTTCTGATCTGATGGTTAGCAGCAAACTGGTGAGTTCGCAAGCTGCTTCTAGTCCCACTGATTGTTTCGTAGCATGCTGCTCTCCAGGAGATGTTGCACAGACAAGTTTTGATTGAGACGGCCTGCCCTAAACTCCAGTGGATTCAGAACAGTCAGGTCTGTGCAGAACCAGAGTTGTTTTGGAAGGTGGTTTGCCAGTGGCACAGCCTGGCTACATTATGCTGATCGCAGCTATTGTAGAGAATTCCGTTTTGGCTTGGGACATGTTTCAGCCCAGCAGCGGCCAGTGGCAATGCTTAAAGCCAGAGAATGACAATAGTAGGAAGTGGCACACACAGCAGCAAATGGGGCCAGATTAGCCTGTAGCACTTGGGGGCACATGTCCAGAGCCCAAAGGACAACTAAGCTTCAAGTCCAACTACAGCATTGCTTCCAGCTCTACAGCATGCTGCATGCCAGAGCCTCTTTGCTCATGCTGTGCACTATGGGATAGCACAGTACAAACACACAGGAAGTCCTTGATTCACACACCCCAACAGCAATGCTCATTAATCCTGTTTGACCTGCACCCCCCAAAGGCATCTTTGCCAGAGTGGTGAAAGTAGAGGCATCTAGCTTCCTCCTGAATATAACCACACCCAGTGCAGGCCAGGGGAGCCGGTGTGAGGCAGGTGACAAGTGCAGCAATTCCCCCCCTCCCCAAGGGAGCAACGCCTAGGATGCAGGCCAGAGGGTGGTTGTCGGGCTGCGCTCTCCTACCTCTTTCAGGCAGTAACCCAAAATGCACAGAATGTGCATGTGACCCTGCAGCATTCAGAGGCCCCTGGATCCTGAGCACACAGCTTATCAGGATTGTCCTTGGTATCTCTGGACTCTACACCACTTGAACACTCTAGAGCAATGGGGCTGCACATTTCACTGCAGAGGTAAGCCTGGACCTTGCTGTGCACAGCAGCAGCACAGATTCTCCCCTTCTCCCCCACAAGTTGAGGAAGAACAGGCTGCAGCATCTGTAGTGCTAAAAGCAACCTGGTACCATCCCTCAACCTGAAGTCTGTGTCACAAGAAGTTATCTATACTTTGAATAGCTTGCCCTCAGTTTCCTCACTTAAGAGTCCAGTGTAGACAAATCTATGCAGTGAACTCAAACTAGGGCTTCCACCCATTGCTAGTATTTGATGTACATCCCCACACAGAAGATGCTTGAGGAAACATTTTAAATCCATTCCACTCACTCCCCCCTTTCTGGAGCATAAGGCAGGGAGGAACTCAGCCCTGGGCATCACTTCTGACCCATCATTTGAGTGTCGTAACTCATCTCTTCAGAGAACAAACCTGGAGACTCCAAGTGCCTATCTCCTGGAAGCAATGACAGATTAGCGCCCCCTCCCCTTGTGTAAGCATTACACAAACATCTAGGCTGTGTCTACACTGGCATGAATTTCTGGAACTGCTTAAAACAGAATACTATTCCGTTTTCAGTTTTTCCAGAAAAGGAGCATCTACATTGGCAGGCTGCTTTTCCAGAAAAGCGCTTTTTCTGGAAAAGCATCTGTGGCCAATGTAGACGCGCTTTTCCGGAAAAGAGCCCCGATCGCCATTTTCGCGATCGGGGCTTTTTTCCGGAAAAGACTACTGGGCTGTCTACACTGGCCCTTTTCCGGAACAGTGTTCCAGAATAAGAACTTATGCCCAAGCGGGAGCAGAATAGTTTTTCCAGAATAGCGGCTGATTTTGTACAGTAGAGTGTCATTGCTTTTCCAGAAATTCAAGGGCCAGTGTAGACAGCTCACAGCTTATTCCGGAAAAGCGGCTGATTTTCCGGAATAAGTGGCCCAGCGTAGACACAGCCCTAGTGAGACCGTTCCTGCCCTAACAAGCCCACAATGTAGATTGACAAAGACAGGCGATGGGAAGGAACCCAAGGCAGATGGGTGAAGAGATTTGCACAGTGTCACACAGCAAATCAGTGGCAAAACTGAGAATATAATCCAGGACTGCTGACTTCCAGCTCAGTGCACTTATCCACGACATCACAGTAACTCTAAATCCCTGTGCCCTGCAAGATTAATCCTACTGAACCCAGTTTCTGTAAGAAAACTCATTCCTGGGGTTTGGGAGAAATCACAAGTCTTCAGAACATCTGTGGAGGGGCCCTTCTTGTTTTTACAGACAGGCTTTTAAAGTTTGTGCCCTCCTCCCCCCACAAATTAGAGCTGTGAATAGCTTGCGAGCCTAGGAAGTGGTGACATTTAATTAACTTGCACCATGGAAGGAAGCTGCTGTTACCAAGGCAATACCATCCACCCTGGTCTTATGGCTTCCAAGGTGAACAGTCTCAGACTTGTGGGAGAGAATTTACAAGTGCATCCATGCAGATCTGAAGGGGAAAACTGAATGATCTGCATGGAGAATTAAGGCAGCTTTCCTTCTCCACATCAGATTATTTTGAGTTAAGGCCAACTACACTATCCCTAAACTACAGGTCATTTAAAAAAAAAAATGCACATGCCCTAGATACATGAACATATTGGCTCAGAACCAGCCTTATGAAGGAGGAACCACTGAAGCCTATCAGGTGAGTATTACATATTTGATGCCTTTCATGAATGATTTACTCTATTAAAAAAAGACTGGAATACAGACACATTATTGCTGTTTGCATTGCATTGTCAGCCCATGTCATAAGCTCTCTCCTCAGAGAGCGGCACCTGAGAATACCTCTGCTTTTATCCATTTACCACAACTTTATGCTTTTTAGTTATTAAATGCCAAGTGTTCTTAGTGCTGAACAAGACAGCAGAATACCATCTTTCCAAGATTCTACAATCTGTTCTGCCTATTAGTAAGCTAATCCTGGACAAGTTACTTTACCTCTGGTCCCATGTCTATGCAGCTAGCCAGAGCAGAAGTGGTCTCAACAGGTAACAGCACAATGGAGTCTCCAGGCCTCACTGTGGTACAGTCCATCACAGCACTTGTGATTTTTAAAAAGATGTCAATTTATCAAAGTTCAGTAAAACTAACTGTGGTAGCCTCTGCTACTGCAAAGGGGACTAAACATGGTTTTCTAAAGGGTAAAGAACAGGCTGAGGATTAGTAAACATTTGTGCTTGCTAAGTTTATTGCTGCTGTAACTTCAGAGTCCTTGTTTCCTGACACTCAAGGCAGCTGTAACACAAGCTTCCCCTCACTGCTGTTTCCAATTACCTCAACCCTGAGGTCAAGGTTTGATCTTACCTAAATGGGGTATTCAGGGTCTGTAGCAGAAAGATCAGAAGCAGAATCCCAGGTTGGTGAGGAGAAATTAAAGTCAAGAGCTGACACCACAGCTAAGAACCACCAATCCCATTTCACTACAGAAGTGAGCAGGGAATTTCACATTGGTGGATAGAGGTGAAAGGAAGTCCTAGCCACCAACCTATGCTACCCTGGATAAAAACCTATTTTCAGACTTAATCGTTACAATGCTTTAGGGAGATGGCTATCAGACACTTCTCTCTAGCTTCTTCCTATTGCTACAGAAACAGGAAAGATAGCATCTAAGACACTGAACAGTGGCTTTCTAGCAACAGTCATTTGCAAAAGTAATGCCAATAAGAAAGCTACTGTACTCTTCCTCCTGCACACAGATACCTGCTTGATGGTAAGAAAATGAGCACCCCAGAGGCACTGTGTCAGGAACACATCAAACCAGAACAGAGACACTTGTGACAGGCTTTGAGGCAACAGCCTGACAACACCAGCAATTATTTCAGGACTCTCTGAAGAGTAGGGCCCAAACCTGCCACTGCAGAAGCCTGTCAAAACTACAAACAGCACTATTCGAGGCACTTTCCTCGCCACACTGCTACAGATGTAGCCTCACAACATCTAGCTCTAAGGCTCTGACCCCAACATCCCTCCCAACATGCAAAGCTAGCCCCCTGCCACAGACACCCCTCCAGCACACCTTACTCAACCCTAGGCAGGAAAGCCACACAGGGGACAGGCGTGGGCACAGAATGCCAATGCACCCGCCAGCCCACAGCAACCCCCTGCAGCCACATCGCAGCTCCCTGCCTGCAGAAGGAGCATCATGCAGGTCCCTCGGCTTCCCCATTCAAAGCCCGAGAGCTAAGACTGGCCCAACTCATTGCGCTGTGAGCAAAGAGGCTGGGTCGGCTGCGCGGAGGCTCGCCCGCGGCTGGTCCATACAGCGCCGTATAGCCCCGCCGGGCTCCAGCACCGGCCGCCCACGCTCGGAAGGCTGCGTTACCTCGCAAGACGCCCGAGTAGGCGGCGATGCCTCGGCTTCCCCATTCAAAGCCCGAGAGCTAAGACTGGCCCAACTCATTGCGCTGTGAGCAAAGAGGCTGGGTCGGCTGCGCGGAGGCTCGCCCGCGGCTGGTCCATACAGCGCCGTATAGCCCCGCCGGGCTCCAGCACCGGCCGCCCACGCTCGGAAGGCTGCGTTACCTCGCAAGACGCCCGAGTAGGCGGCGATGATGGTCTTCATGATTCAGCGACGGCGCGCCCCGGCCAGGTCCATAACGCGGCCCCGCTGGGGCCCGGGCATCCGCAGGAGGCACAGACCGGAGCGCAGGCCCGAAT